CTCCCGCCGAGGGTTCGGATCCCATATAGAGACCGGTCCGCTCACTGGTTGAGCGCGGTGCAGGCGTGACACCAAGGGTTGCGATCCCGTTGCCGGTCGCGGTACGGGCGCGACACCGAGGGTTGCGATCCCGTTACCGGTCACGAAAAAAGACAAAAAGGAAAAAAAAAAGAAATAAATGTGTGATTTAACTGCAGGTACTGCCAAGTGCTATAAAGAGAGATGAAGGATGGTGAAGGTGGGGAGTGTTGGAGCAGAGGTGTCAGGGTGTGTTAGTCAGGGTTCTCCAGAGAGACAGAATCAATAGGATGTGTTATAAATATATGAGAAGGGATTTATTAGGGGAAATAGCTCTTGTGATTATGAAGAAAAGTCCTTCGATAGGCCATCTGCAAACTGGATGCTGGGAGCATGGCTCAGTCCAAGTCCAAAGCCTCAGAATCGGTGTAAATCCTGGAACCCAAAAGCTGACGAGTCTCGAGCTCTGATGTCCACAGACAGGAGATAAGAGTGTATCTCACCTCCAGCGATAGAAAATTTTGCCTTTTTCTCCATTTTTTTTTTCCCCCTCTCTCCAGGCTCCCACCAGATTGGATGGTGTCTGCCCATATTGAGGGCTGGTCTTTCCCACCCAGTCCACTCAGGCTCTCATGCTAATCCCCTCTGGAAACACCTTCATGCACACATCTAAAAAGATAGCTTTTCCAGGTTTCTCAGTATTTCTTAATCTAATCAAGTTGACACCTAAAATTAACCTTCACACAGGGATAGACAACGTAGTCCTCAGGATCAAAGGTTTCCTATGTGTCACACAGGTTTACGTGGCTTGCTGCTTGCCATGTGCACTTAGCAAGCCTCTAATAAATGCTGGCCTAAGCCCCTTGGTTTTGCATTGCAACCTCCTAAGTCTAGGCCCCTGGAGGCTTTGGTCAGCCTGGACTCCAGATGCACCACTCTGTGTTTGTGTGATGATTACCTGCAGATAGAATCACTGCCATCACTGGGTGTGGCTTCTTCACAGAAGCCGGGACTGGTTCTTCCTGTTAGCCAGCACACCTGGCACAGTGCTGGCTAGACACAAAACCCTCATTTGGTGCTGGTCGAACCAAATTACATTGTCACACATGTACGTACATGTACATAAAAAAAAAACAAACAAACATGGATATACTCATAGACTGTCCAATCACAGACAGATGTACATGTTTGTACACGGACCCCCACATGTTACAGAACCCTGGAGGCCAAACTCAGGCATGAATGAATCTGAAGGGAAAAGTCTCTGCTGGGAAATAGATGCTTTAAGATCTGTTGGATAAATAGGTTCCATGGCAGGGCTGGTGTTGGTTCTGCTTCACAATGCAATCAAGTGGTGGTTGGCAGCACATTTATAGTGATTAGTAACCACATTGATTCTTCATCAGGAAGCATCATGCACTGAGTTTTACAATTTCTCTGATGTGAGACCATTTTCCAGAAGTGATATCTTTTAACTTCCAAAGAAAATGGCTGTGTTTTTATCCATTTGTTTTAGAATATATAATCTGTCCTTTTCCATGGCTCACGCAGGAGGAAGATAAATGGCAGAAACTCAGATGTTATCTAGACGGAAGATGAGCCTAGAACATCAACTTTAATATGAGGAATGCTAGTTGGTTGGTTTAGGCTTGGTCTGTGAGGTGTGGATTGGTGTTTGGGAGGAGAGAGGAGACAGAGGCTGACAGAGAGCGAGCTGCTACCTGTGTGTTCCCTGAAGTGTTTGTGTGTGAACCTCCTTCTCCCTGCTCCTGTCTTCCTTGAAGGAAATCGGCCTGGAGAAAGCAGCCATGGACATGACAGTCTTCCTGAAGCTGCAGAAGAGAGTGCGGGAGCTGGAGCAGGAGAGGAAGAAGCTGCAGGTGCAGCTGGAGAAGAGAGAGCAGCAGGACAGCAAGAAAGTGCAGGTGTGGGAAGGGGCTGCAGTGCCCTTGTGGTGCCAGGATGGGAGCACAACCCAGCTTGAGCCTCCCAGGGCTCACGTGGCAGGTGTGACCCTGTGGGATTATGCTGGTGCTCATTTTCAGAGAAGACCTTTTGTCATGTGTTGGAGTTGTGTTGAGTCTTCTCTGCGAGTGCCTCACACACCAGCTGGGCAGGAATGAGCTCCCCTAGTGCCCCCAGGGCAAAGAATTTCCCCAGAGGGCAGTCTGTGGCATCATCACCTGCTTGCAAAGAGGGGAGTTCATGTCGGGAGGACCAGGGTGTGTAATGAAAGTGCAGGTATAGCAGAAGTCAATTTTGGGCC